CATAGTATGACAACCACAATGTGACATCACATAATGTTATTAAGAACATGTCAGTGTTGTATCACAGTGTAATACCAGACCTTAAAGTAGAAAAAGAACACCAGACATTGAAGTATAACATCAACCATTGAAGTAGAAGAAGAAAATATACTTTTAAAATTCTAATATCATGATCTATTAAAAGAGGAAACCTTTGATATAATAAAACAAATCCCACGAAAAATAGAATTGTCAAACTAAATCGTCCATAAATTATGAAAAAACGGTATTTCTATTAAAATAGGAAACTGTTGAACTCATAAAATAAATCCAACAGAAAATAGACCGCAAACTAAAAAACCTATGAATTATGAAACAAAGGTATTTTCGTAAAAAAAATATATTTAAAAAACCGCCAACGTGCACAAGATATTTCTAGTTAGGAGTACTTATCTCTAATAGAGTTTTAGTGAAATATTTTCCTTCAAATAATCTATATAATAAAGTACAATACAATTCAAACTTTAAAAAATAAACAAAATAATTTTTACTATTCATAGTTGAAATCGTTTTAAATTTTACTTTAAAATTAATCTAACGGTTAACATTAACACCCTAAATTTATGAGGAAAATAAACCCCTAAGGGCGTGTTTGGATACAATTTTTGAAAAGCACTTCTAAAAATTATTTATCGTAAGTACTTTAAAAAAAAAAATAGTGTTTGGAACAGCCTCATCACTACCTCTACCACCCCCATCCCCACTGCTACCGCCACCACCACTATCGCCACCCTACCATATCCACCACCCCACCACCACCATAACCACTACCACTACCACCACCACCATAACCACTACCACTACCACCACCACCACCATCCCCACCATCATCACCACCACCACCATTTCCACCACCTTACCACCACCACTATCACACCCTACCATCATTATCATCACTGCTACTATCCCACCATCACCCTTACAACCCCCACCGCTCCACCACCACCCCCGGACCATCACAACTACCCCCACCATCGCCACTGCCCCACGTCCACTCCCACCCCATTCTCACTATCCCACTGCCACTGCCACTACCACCACCCTCGCTACCACCACCGATTGCTACCATCGTCGTCCATGGCCACCACCCACCACCATTGTCACTTTATTCTTATATTTATTATCATTATCACCATCATCGCACTACTACCGTCGCCCACCGTCAGCATCCATCACCACCCATCGTCGCCCACCATCGTCACCAGCCACTGTCACCTACCCCACCACACCTATCACCACCTTTCATCGCCCACCACTATAGCCACCCATTGTCACCTAACCCCACCACACTTACCACCGCCGTCATTCGCCATCACTCATCACACTGTTGTCTAGAAGCACCCATCGTCGCCCACCACCACCACCACCATCATCGCCCACCACCACCGTCATCATCCCACCACCACCACTGTCAACCACCATCATCGTCGTCCACCACCACTGACACCTACACCCACTACACCACCGTTGCCACCCACAACTACTACTACAATCATCGTCACTCAAAACTTATCACCACCATCACCATTATCACCCACAACTACTACCACCACCACAGTTGTCGCCTTACTTACCACAACCATCACGTCCCTCACCATCACCATTATTGCCCACCACCACTCTTCCCCACTACAATTGATACTTAAATTTTTTTATTTCTCCTCTATATTTGTGATTTGATTTTGGGTGTGAATACAAATATGTTGACAATTTTTTTTATTACTCCGTGTCTTCAGGCATGGGAGATAACTAGTTAGTTTATATGATACCTATCCATAATTTTTTGATTAAATTATTGTAGTTGATGTATTTTTTACTTAGGTCTTTTGAAGCCGGTACATCAAATTAAACATAATTGTAAAAAAGTACACAGTTAAGATACAAAGACGTGAATGCCCATTTTGTAAAATTTTCTTTCCTAAAAATTGTAACAAGACATTTATTTTAAGCGATAAAATTTAGGGTCATTTAATTTTAAATCTCTAACGTACCTTGATTCATGTATTTTTTTTTTAGAAAGTGATTTTGTTTTCAAATTATATTTATGCATTAAATATCTCCTAGTTTTCTGAGAGAACTTTAATATTTCTTTTATTTTAGGATATATCACTTTGTTTGAATTTCAAAATTTGTTAATATCCGAACTCCATAATAGTGTAACAAAAATAGTATAACAAAGACAGTATAACAATACAATGTAACAAAAATAGTGTTAAGTGATTTTGTGCATGTGATAACAAATTCAAAACAGATAATGACTGTTTTGAATGAAATTATATGAAAATATATGTTTAACGAAAAATAGTACAATATTTTGTGTAAATATCTTGTTACACTGTTATGAAATTTGGATATTCATATAATTTGAAAAGAAAATCACTTTCCAAAAAAATATGCATGAATCAAGGTGCATTAAATATAATTTGAAAACAAAACCACTTTTAAAAAAAAAATACGAATGAATCAAGGAAGAACATAAAAATATGAAATATTAAAATTCTCCCATAAAACTAAAAAATATTTAATGCATCATTTTTTTGAAAAAATATGTATGAATCAAGGGAGGATATAAATGTCATAAGAAAATATGAATCATTCAAATAATATACTTGGAAACAAATAAATATCAAAGTTAAAGACTTTTTTACCTTATATTTTTTTCTGTATATTTTTTTACAATTAACTCCACTTTAGTATATCCCCTTCCAATTTGCCCATTTTACTTTCTTTGGGTTAATCCATTGGGCAGCGGGTCTACCGTCTATCTGACTAATGGCCTGTGGGCCTCAAATGACTAAGTAATCACCCGAAGCTTCCATGTGGCGTGATCCATACGATGCGACGCAATAAGCAACCCAGACTTTCGATTAATCCATGAATCTTGGGCCTTTTTCCGGGTCAAAACTTTTGGCTAGGGGTCCCAAATGATATCCAATTTTATGGGATGTTCTACGGACTTCAAAATGGATCCTTCGTCGTAAAGCTTTGCTTGCTTATTACTTATTACTACCAGTGGGAGAGAGAAGTTTGTGGTGTACAAAAGGGTGAGCAATGTAGGCGCATGGAGTGTTTATTAAATCATAACTAGCTTGGTAAGTGGCGTGGATGGCACTCAATTGTGTTATGACCACTCTCTCTCTCTCTCTCTCTCTCCTTGTATGTATGTGCGTAATGTATGTGTAAAGCCATGCTTAAAATTCTTCTTTTTTTTTCAATAGTCAGGTTGTTTAAATCAACTTAAACACATTTCGAATAATCTCTTTTTCGATTTAATCAAAGACAAGTAATTCATACTAAGACTAGGGTATTCATGAGGAATAAATCCATCATGACCTAATCCCAAAGACTTTCCAAAATTTGAGCTTATAATTCATGTACATGTAATATTATCCATTCTTATTTCAAGGGGAGAAATCCCAGAACATGACTATTTATATAAGCCTATGCTCGAAACCCGCCTTGCTCCATTTTGAAAAAGGAGAGGGGTATGGGTATCCCACATTGTATAGCCTAGTCAAGGAACACAAACTAGAAAACAAAAAAGAAACTTGGTAAATCACGTACCTCGAAATCAACTGTTAACTAATGTATACAAATGTGTTTGTCACAATGAGTACCGCCTTCATACTGGGAGTCATTGGTTCCAATCCGATAGTAGGTTAAACTGACACAAACCCCTGCTTCAACCATTTCAGAATTGTGAAATAATATACTGGAAGAGATCTAGATCCGTTTTTTGACTTGTAGAAGGCTTTGTGGTTCCTGTCACCTCTAGTTCATCATGGTCGTGGGGCTTTTTTCTTGGTTTTGTGTGAACTTTCTGGCTTTCTGATGCATGATAACTAGCTCTAAAAAGCTATCCTTTCAAGTCTTCTCTAACTCTTACTGGAAGCAACTCCAAGGGCACCATTAGTAAGACATCATATTAGCATATCAAACCATCTTCCGTAAACTATCTTTCAAGACACTGAATCAAAGAGTACACACAATCAAACCTAAAGCAGACAAGAGCTAGAACTTGCAGGTCTCTCTATGGTTCCCACATTAACTTCCTACCCCAATGACTTCCATTTGTTTTCCATCAGCTGGCAACAGCAGGCCCCTAATTCCCCTTCACTTTCCGGGGGTGATAAGCATACATCAGTTCTCTGTGACCTTAAATCTGTCAGTTGTAAACAAACACTCCAAACGGTTTCCCTCATGGCTGTAGAACCCCAACAAGTATCTTAGAATAAATCCTCCAAGAAGTACAAAACTATGTTTTATGTTTTTCATCAAGCCCTGATGAATCCAACATTGCATACTCTAAAATCAACAAAACAACAGATCTTGAGAGGCAATTGAGCCCCTAATTTCGAACTGTAGTATGCCCATAGGGTAAATCCAAACTATGACCAAGTACACAAATGAATGTTGGACAGATCTAAGCACGTTGGACACTTTTTTTAGAAAAGGAATCAACAAAATAACAAAAAAGACATTCTGACGATTATTCCGTTACATAAGATGGATGGATAGTCGGACAGAGGCACAAATAGACAGATAGATCAATTGATGAAGGCATGAATGAAGGATAGGTGCCCACATAGAAAATGACAAGGTTTGTAACACAAACATTTCAATGGAAGGTGGATAACCATAGGCAAACATTACATCAGTTAACACAGATTAACCCTCTCATATAAGGTTTAAGCATTTTGCTTATGATATTTGCTAATAAATAATGGCAGCACTGTAGTACATCAATGGAACACCTACTCTTTCAATCCTATTTCAAAGGACAATTAAAGAAATAACAGATAGAACTTGGCCAGACTTAATCATCTAATGACCTCCCCACGTCTTGTGTTATTTCAAACTCCCTTCACAGTTCCTAGACAAAATTAACCAATCCATCCATTATACCCTATGAAGGTTTCACAATGGGGGAAAAAGCTCTGTACATCGGTAGGACCAAGTGACAACTCTTTTTGACGTTTCTTGTATCCTCCACTAATACTCTGAAGCATAGAATTGCTCATTTCAGCGTATGCCAGACGTATTTCCCAGAATTTGGAGCCAAACTTCTGCTAATTTGCACTGAGATCACCTTCATTTCTCTAATTACTCTTGACATCTAATGACGCAATATAGTTAAAGCACCTACCACGGGATCAAGCAGCTGTGACACCTTCACTCTTGGCCATCAGATCCATGACTAAACAAAACAAAAAGAGCACTCTAAAAACAGTATGGCATTTGGTATCCATAAATGCAATGGATACTGATGGTGACACTCTTACTACATTAACATCTAGGAAACATGGATACGGACATGGGTGTAATATCAAATAGAATACACGGAAATACGAAAAATTTCAAAAATATATGAAAAATAGCATTAATAATGAAATTTTCAAAAATTATGTATTAAAATAATATTACGCATTTTTAACAATATTAATAATAAAACGTAGCAAATATTAATTTTTTGATTAAAATTGGAATAGATTAAAATAAATATCCACCATTTTCATCAAACATCATTACATCATCCATTAACATTCATAGTCCCTAAGTTACATAACAAGAAACGAAAAAACAAAATAAAAAAATCATACACTCCTCTTCATAGTTCATAGTTCATAGTTGTGAGAATTAAAAAAAATCCTAGCCAATATTTGTAGCCTTGTTCAGTCGTATCCAACGCATATCTATGTCGGAACATGTCCGACACTACCATGGCATGCATCCATGCTTCTTAGATTGACATGAAAAATAACGCCAACCAGAGTCGTAACGGGTGATTAATACAATGATACAAATGATGATTAAATTAATTTGTCAACCACGATACTCCTGCCACCCAACCGCAGGTTCCAGACTTGAGTACCATCAAGTTCAAATACATATCCATACAACCAGCACCTAGTACAAGGGGTTTCAGGAAATTGGGTTTGGAGAATCCCCACTTGCATTAATACAACATCCTTAGAAAAGTTAAATGGAGTGCGTGTTGATTTAGTATGAATAGAACTGCTATAGGAATTACATTTAAGTATACACTCATGCACACACAATCAATTAATATAAAATGTAAATACGCTATAATGGTTCTCAAGCGAACCATAATCCAAAAAGAGTATCAACTAATGGTTGGGAATACCAAAAGCTAATGGTTTTATATTGTACTACAAAAAAAGTTCAAATATAACTTTATAGATCACCAAAATAAATTACTAATGAGTAATTATTGTCACAATTTGAGATTGGAAATTTCAGGAATTTAAAGCGAATTCACCTCGTTTGGGATCTTGCAACCTTAGATCGTGGGTGCCTGTAGTATCTGCAGCCACGACATCCCTCATGCCATCTTAAAAAAAACCTATTTTTGACCTCATTTTCAACAATTAGCCAGCACTCTCTCAGTTTCTCTTCAGCCACCAACTGTCTCTCTCACTCTTCCAATATCAAGTCCAAAATCATCGCTACTGCTCATACTGTCAGACCCATAAATGCCTTTTTTTTCCCTTAAGATTTCATACTAATAATTTATCAAGTAGTAGTAAAAGCTATGTCCATACTCCATAGATGTTTTTCATTGGTCCATCTTATCTTATAGTTGGAGAAACCTATGTTGTATGAGTTTTGTCTGAAGGCAAGAAGTAGGATTTTGAACGACCATCATGAAAATAAAACTCTAACTATTTGAACGACCATCTTAACTGCTTTTTAGCTTTGCACCATCATTGTTGCCTGTAAGTCCATCATTATATATGTGATCGCTCATAATGAGCAATATTTGGATTGTATAAATACAATTCAATTGAGATAGGCTATTCAGGTACTGGGTTTCATCATTCAAGTTGCTTCAGAAAAGGGTAGAATTTAAGAAAATCATTCTATTTTCCCAATAGTTCCCAAGCTTGCCATTAAAGCAACCTCACATGAAGGTTTTTTCACCAAAAATTGTAAACAGTAACAAAAATGACTCTTCTCCATAGATCAATTGAACCATATGAATATAGACATCACTAAGACTCCAGATTCTTTCCATGAACAACACTTCACAATAACAATGCATCCCTTCCCTCTGGGCTAAATTCATCCAAAACATGAAACAAAATTAAATAGCTATCTGGGTACTGCCATTAAAGAAACTATATAGATCATACCTATAACTAAAGGTCATGTATGAATTGGTGAATCCTCAAGGTGACAATTCCCTATATATGACTAACACTGATATAACACGGATAACAAATATGAACCACAAACATATCTAAGAACCCAATTATTATTTCTAAAAAAATTCAAACAAAAGAAAAATTAGATAAAAATCTTACACAAAGTCATAAACTCATTCTTCACAATTAACCATTCATAAACAATAAATTTAGAACACAAGGTCACACATTTAAAAAAAAACTCAATACCCATTCATATCACCAATAATAAAGCCCATTAGCATACATCACATTATTTCTTGTTGCTTTTACCTCCGGCATCACTGCCGCCAGCCCCCGCCGCCTGCCCCGCTTTCTTCGCCGCCTTTTCTTGAAGGGCTTTCCCATCCCTGCGTATACATGAAAACTAAAGTTAGGACTACAATATCAATGTTATCGACAGAGAAAAAAGTTGAATTTTGGAAGAAATTACTGAAAATAATTGGACCTTTCACGGCGTTGTTCGGGCGTCAATCCATCATCTTTGTTCTTTCCTTTTCCGCCGCTCCTAGCCTGAGCTCTTTCGCGATCTTTTTCTCTCTGATTTCCACGTTAAACCGAATTAAGGAAAACATAAAGAATATTAATCCACACACAAACTATATACACATAAATAAAGAATTTGCGAGTACAATAGATCGAAATTGAGCATTAACACAAAGAACAGGTGAATTGGAAGAAACAAATTTGGGAAAATTTCAAGGATATGAGTCATTGTGAAACAGCCGAAATAGTCGTCGACAAGGGAGTTCTGCTTTGAGAGGGAGGGGGAGAAGGGGGGAGCGGGGGTGTTGTTGACTTTTTGGGGGCGTAGAGAGAGAGAGAGAGCGCTTATGATATAGGGCGAATCGTTTACATCTTGAAAACTTTCCAATATTTAATTTGTACCCTAAAACCTTTTAAAAATTAATTGCACCGAAGTTCCCAAAATATAAAATTTATTTTATTTGAGTCTCTAATATTTTAATTATATCATTTTGATTCCTAAAATATTGAACATATTTTTATGTGGTCCCTCAAGCAACATTCAAATTGTTAATAATTTTTTATTATAAATTTACCACGTGATACTTAAATATGGATAAAAAAATAATTTAGTTAACTCTTAACCAAAATTTGGATAGCTCTTGATAAAAAATGTGTAATTTTAGTAGTTCTTGATCCAAATGTGGATATCATGACCAAAACTATGTAATTTTGTAGTTTTTTGATACAAATTTTGGTCAAAAACTATTCAAATTATTTTTTTATTTATATTCAAGTATCACGTAATAAGTTTATAATAAAAAATTATTATCAATCTGGACACAGTCTGGTTGAGGGACTGCATAAAACATATTCAATATTTCAAGAACTAAAATGTGCAATTAAATTATTGAAGATCAAAATAAAAAAATCTCTTACTTTTAGGACCTTTTGTGTAATTAACCCAACTTTTTAATTCTTAACGTGTGCCCGGATTTGTATCTATAATATAAAATAGGCATGAGTAGACTTCAATAAGTCCATTCAACAATTTCAAATAAACTCATCCAACGATTACCAATATATCTCTCAAAACATTCGCATTGTTTCGTACTTTTAGTCACGAGATTACCCCTAGTCTATAAAAAAAATAAAGACACTTATATCCTTATGCATTTAATTAACCAATCTTATCAACATTATAAAAATTGTTGACTTACGTAATTTATCTTTAAACAAATGCTTAAAGACAAACTATCTATCCTTAACCTTTTAGCTCCCAATTTTAAACATTTACATAGTGTCAATTTCTTAATCGACTTCATTGCCACATCATCCAAGAGCTACTCCTAAATGACTTCCATTTTATCTATTTTTTTGGACCTTACAAATTCAAGACATTGTGTATTTAATTAATAGGTAATATATGCATCAGTTAGTTGTGTGTTTCATATTTTCTTTTCCTTCACATAGACTTAATACAAAAAAGTTTGAGATCTCTTTATAGACCCTTTAATTTTGTAACTTCGCTTATTTCTCGCTTCTCTTCACAAGTCAATTTCTATAATTTCTACACTTTCTTTTGTGTATTTTGTGCACATTTTGACAGGGGAAAACACCCACCACGCTAGAGTGACAGTGGAGGTGAACATTTGATGAGAAGGAAAATCAAGCGTGAGATATGGTCAAAAATTGCAACATGTTTTTAAATAGAGCTTTTTTGGGGTGATATTTCGTAAATATATACGTTCGCAGACTTGACGAATTTGGTAGCTTTGTCGAATATAGAATCTTGAATTGTATCACAAACACACCAAGTAAACAAGGTTCTATTATTAATCTTATTATAAATTACGTACTTCTCAAATATTTTAGTGTATAAGTTACAACAGGAAAATTACAAATATTATGGGGCCACAACAATCTAAATTTTGGCCATGCAACACATGCTTAGGTGGGTTTTAGTTTTATTCTTTCTTTTCCTTTTTGTTTTGGATGATGAATTATTTTGAAATTGAGTTCGAGATTTTGGTGAATTTTAATGATGGATTCTTTGTCGCAGCTACTGAGAAGGTCATGGTGATAAATATTTGGGTGAATTTTAATTTTTGATCAGCCAAGACAAAAGTATACACAATTGTGTTTTGTAGGTTGAATATTGTGGCCAATAAATACTTTTTTGTAGATATATAAAATACAAAATTATAATTATATTTGAAATTGTTGCACGTGTACACCAATTAGTGTCATAAAAAGCAAAAATGTGGCTGGAGACCATGTCATATGGTAAGTGAATGTTCCAAATTCATTTTAGAGAGGTCAAGTGACATTGTGTCATGATCGAGACTGCTCATCTTAAAGAGTGATAAAATGTCTTGGGTGGTGAAGGAATACGCATATAGATCAATTGAGCGTACATTGTCTAGCCCTAACTCTCTCTTCCGTCTCTTTGCCTTATCAAGCAAATATTTTCGATAGAGCAATGTTATTGAGATATATCTATACAGTGTATCTATATATCTATATACATATATCAATACCTCTGAACAATTAACAGATGTTATCACAAAGGCTCTTGGACGTGACATGTTTCATAACCTTTTTCGCAAGTTGGACATTGTGGACCTCCATGCTCGGAAGTATTGTCGTGATACCCACACATAGCCAGCGGTTCATTATGTGATACACGCACACAACCAGCTATTATTTCCTTATTAATTTGTACAGATTGCATTCCTTGTATAGTTCTTAATCTTAGCCTAGAATTATGCAACCTTAGCTCTATATATTGTTTGTACTGTCAATATCAAATTCAATGAGAAAATATTCTTCTCCATTCAAAGTGCAATATTGTCTTTCCTATCATGGTATCAGGGCCAATTTGGTTGGTGAATCTCATATTTTATAGGTGCACAATGATGTTCAATGGAAAAAATGGGAGTTTGATGTCCACTCCACATGAAATATTTACAATACCCTTGTTTTCTTTCCCTCTTAACCACCCAAACTCCCTCTTTTTGTTTCTTTCCCTCTTAACCACCCAAACTCCCTCTTCAACCAGAATCAACCACACATAGCCTTACAGATTTATCTCTCTTGGTCATTTTCCCCTCTCTCTTTCTCCCTTTTCTTTAGAATCACACACACAAACACAAATAAAAAAAAAAATGCTATGTTTACCAAATTTTTCATTCCAAATGATATTGCACAATTTCTATCACTAATTATTAATGGAACTCACTTATCTAATAGTGAAAAACTGTTCGACATCATTTGAGATAGAAATTTGATAAAAAAACAATTATCATGTCTTTTTCCCCTCTCTACTTGACACATTACATGCTTAGCAGGCACCAAACTGCCATTTATTGAAGTGGCAGTTTGTAATTGGTGTTGAGTACCAATTGTGAGTGCCACCTTTGGCACCTGCTAAGCATGCCATATTTTATAGTGTTTAGGACCTCTAGTACCGCAAATTGTAGAGGCTGTTATTACTTGTCTCGAAGAAAAGGTAATTTCCACTTGAAAAATATTTGAAGATCAAATCAGAGATTTAATTTAATGTGATCATATAATTAGTTGTTAGTTTCAAAGTTAGAGCGACCCACTTTTAATCTAACAATTGTAGTTGATCAGGTCTCCAAATTAAGTGTAAATAACATTTTCTTTTCTTTCAACTTAAACGGGAACCAAAGACAAAGATTCAAAAACCTTATCTTAAAGTTTATAAATCTCATAGTACTTTACCTTTAATTTTTCAAAATAATATTTATAACGTGTCCCAACAAATATCATTATACTATAGTAGAATCAATAATTATAAGGTAATTTTATTGTGATATTGGGATCACGAGTTCGAGTCATGAAACCAATCTTTTTAATTGCTTGCAAAGGTAAGACTGCATACATCTCTAACCCTCTCTAAACCCCACAATAACGAGAATTTCGAGCACTGAGTACACCCTTTATATTAGAAATCAATAGTCTTAGATCACGTAAGTGTCACTTGATGGAAAAACTGATGACTTTAATTAATTGGAATATATGACTATTGTTTTAAAGAAATTCAGAATACAGTGTGAGACTTGTATTGCAGAGTGGCACACAAGTCAATATGTGTTAAATGTAAAAGACTTTCTTGGATATATATAGATGGAGCCTATTTGGTAATGTTAATTGCAAAAGACTTTCTTGCACACATTAAACTGTCTCTAACTTAATTGTGGAAAAAAATGGAGCCAATTTGGTATGTTATTGAAAAGTCTTTGAGCAAATTCTTACAAGAGTAAGTTACAAGTCAATTAGTTCAAAATTATCACTTAATAAATTCAAAAAATTTAGAATCAATCCCAAAAAACATAGGATAGATTAAAAAACTGGCTCATTTGAGTTCGTAAACATAATATTTCTCCTTAGTTTTCTTGCGTCACTTTCAAACATTAGTATTTTGTTATGTAAAAGACTTTAACTTCTTTTTTTTTTTTGGCAGGCAAAATGGGGGAGAGGGGCGACCATTATGTAGTGACTCCCCCTGGAGGTGATCACGAGGGCCTTCCCAGATGTAGAATGTTCGGTTAGCCATAGCAATAGACCTCTTAGGAATAGTCCGTCACCACACCACCACCGAAACCTAAATAACAGGACATGGGGATCCCGTGAATCAAATCTTGCTTGCTAACCTCATAAAAGTCAAAGACGACTCTAAGATGGGCATGCCTTACCATTAGACCACTGACTCCGATGGTGACTTTAACTTGATAAGACAAGGAAAAATGAGGAATGAAAAATTTCAACTTGATGCATTTACACGACCAATAAATTGATTGATTTTATTTCAAACATGAATAACCACTACAGTTGTGAACATACAACATTCAACACGAGATTCTGACTAAACATCCTCGTGGACTCAGTTGAATTATTCAACATATTTCTCTTCAGACTTACTATAATCTCTCTTTAAAAACACAACCGTATCCCCACACAAACAAAAGGGTCTAATAAAATGGATTCTAGGAAGATTTTGGTAATATGGAAAGTTCTCTTCATTGTTATGCTGCTCTTGTCTTCTGCAGTGAATGCAAGGGAACTTGTTGAAACACCCAAACCTAGCCCAACCGGTAAGTTTTGCCTCTTTCATATTTATTTTGTATACACTTGTGGTATGCGTGTATTTGTGTGTGTGTACGCGCCCCTGACCAATTATTTGATACCAAGCAACTTGTGAAGTGTTTGAAAAATATCATGTTTATTAGAAATTGGGCTAGCAAATTAATGTTGTTTTGACACCTTCAGATTGGTATAGAACACTTCAACCTGATACTCAGCGGTCATAGTATGCACACTCGTCTTAGAAAGATTGAGGCTTGATAGTTTCCACTTCCTCATGCTCGGGGCTCGACTTTCTTTGATGACACTATGCTTATACTGATATGAAAATCCCGCAATTGACGGGATCAAATCATTACGGCATGCCCGCCATTGATTTTGGTTGGCAGACTTTGAAAAATCCTTAAATACAAGTGTTGGAAACTGAATATGCAAAACAAACTTGACACAAATAACATACTCTCATTTCTGAGTAAGTATTGAGTGCAATGGTGGCACCATGTCAGAAATGCTGACATGGTATTATCCGATCAATAATAAAATACCAAATGAATAAAGTGAATCTCACTTGAATAGTTATTTGCTTATATAGAAGAAGAATAGGTAGTTATTTGCTTATATGAAGGTTGGTTATTAATTTTCGTGGAATCTATTTGCTTATTTGTTTTGATATTATTGATTGGTGATACCATGCCAATATTTACACGTGGTATCATTGTTGTAATGAATATTTTCTCCTCATTTCTGTTCTTTTTAATAACCCACATGATTAAGTTAGATTAGTTAGGCAGTTAGATTTCTGTTATTGAAGTTAGTTAGTAGTGGAGTGGTGTAACTATATATGCTGCTAGAAGTTGCATATGGAGTGGAGTATCATCTATATATATACATGTGTATATTGTACAACTGGTGTGTGAGAATAAAATGTGTGAAGCAAATTCTTGAATCTTCTTCCTTCTTCTATTCAACTCTCTATTTTTCTAAAGGGTTAATAATATTTTTGATCTTTAAAATATGTATTTTTTGTCAGTTTAATCCTCCTTTTATTAATTTGGTCTCTAAAATATTTAAATCGTGTCATTTTGGTCCTTACAAAGAAGAACCGTTAAATTTTTTACGGAATGATCTCGTGTTAGGGGCATGTGATACTGTCTAAAAAAATAACACGTGGTCACTTCCATAAAAAAAAAAAAAACTTGACAGAATATCTTATTCG